GTGTGTGTGTGTGTGTGTGTGTGTGTGTGTGTGTGTGTGTGTATACCAAGTCTGGGGTGGGATCCACTTTAGGAGTGGGCGGTCCTACAGGAGCAGGTGAAGTGGGTGTGGCGGCAGGTGGGCCAGGGGGCGTGGCCTCCTATGGGTCAGCAGTTGAAAAGCAGGAAACACAGAGAAGAAGAAAATAAAGAGTAAAATTTTAAATAGAATTTTAGATTTATGCAATAAATAATCATCAAATGGAATATCTTATCGATGTGTTTCACTGCTGTAATTTAAATATATAAACTGTTAAAATAACAGTTTATTTAATTAAAACACTTTATATTTGTTTCCATTTTGTATAAAAAAACTTTTTCATGTTTCATGACCAAAAACATGCATGTTAGCTAACTAGGACGGTTTGTCTCTGTGTACCACAGTGACTCATTAAAATTTTAATTCAAATTACAGTTTTTACCATTCATTGTTTATTTATACCTTATCAGAAAATCCAAAAGCATCATTTCTAATTACAAATGTGAATATTTGACAAAGTTTGGCTGATTAGACTATGAAGCAGACAGAAGAACAGCTGCTGAAGCTCTTTGTTCATAAAACAAACGTGAAGCTGAAGTCAAAGTGCTTCATGCTGTTCAAACTCTGATACACTGGAATAAAAAAAACACTCATTTTTCACCCTGATACACATTTTCCTGTAACGTCAGGCAAAACGAAGTTAATTTTCTGCAGTAAGCCCAGTTTATCTTGTAGATGGGAACTCCAGCTTCTCGCAGTCTGGAGTCCATTTCATAAAGCTGACTAACTTCCAGCCCATAAAGCAACAAAGCTCAGAGTTATAGCTGCGGTGTCGGAGTTCTCTGGCTCTTTTCTTCGTGATCAATGCTCCTTAGAGGCGTAGCTGAACAGCTAAGTGGGTAACTGATAACCTAAAGCTAAAGCAGGACATTTATTAAATATACGAAACGTCTGTTTCAATACAAAGTGTGTATTTTAGCACTGACTGTCTGGCAGCTTTTTAGCATCGTGGCTAAATATTAGTTCAGAGCATTTGGCTTCTGTGCACTCATAAAGCATAAACAGCGTCCACAGTTAGCCTAGCATGTGGCTTTGCAGCGCCTGACAAGCTGCCAAAGGTGGAGTTTAGTGACTCAAGGCTAAAGAGACTATAAAGAAGAGGTAATGGGCTGTACAAGTACTGTGTGATAAATCACCCAGCTAGCACAGCGGGCCATGGCTGCTTTTCATCTGAGAGAAACAGGGCCGTGTTTCAGCATGGATGTTCCTAATAATGGTAAAAAAAACAAATATGATGGAGAGAAACATGTCTATTTCTGGAAACGTGCTCTCTTGGTTTTAAATGAAGATGTATATGTCGTATAAAAGCAGGAAATCCTCTGGATTATTATGGAGAACCCCTAAATTTAGCTATAAACCTGTGCAGACAGACACGTGCACATATAAAACCTACAGCAGGAAGACCGGGAGGTGGTGTGCCGGGTGTCGGGGTGGCTGATTTGATCTCCTTCTCAGGCCCCTCCTCTTCTGGCAGAGGAGGTGCAGGTGGAGCGAGGCTGGGGCACCGGCCAATCTCAGCATTTTCAAAAGAAACAGGCTGGGAGAAATCTGATAATCTGACAGAACAAGAAGTTAGATACAGTAAAGTGTAAAGTCTTAACATGCAGTTTTTTTTTTTTTTGAACCAGGTGAGTATTTCTGGTCATCTAGAGTGGTCTTCATCATTAGCTCCCCGGGTTTCTGAAGGTCTTTCAAGGTTGTTTTTTTAAGACTTTGTTTTTTAACTTTTATATTTCTGTTCAGTATTTGTCACTAAGCATGACTACATGTTGCACAGTTTGTGTATAAAAAATAAAAATAATTGGGGACTGTAAAGAACCCTGCTTTATGAGATTAATACCAGCTTAATCTCACAAAA